TAAAAAAATAACACGACTATGAATAGGTTTTATCGCTTCCCATTTTTCACAGAGATTTGATGTTTTAAAGAATTTAATTAATGCTCTGTTGCATTAATTAATATGATAATAGAAAATTAAAATATAATTATGATACGAATTTGGACAGAGAGATGAGAATAAATCTAATTGAATAAAAGAGGGAATTTGGGATTACAAATCTGATCAAAATTTAAAAAATAACGGATAATGGTGGAAGATATGCAATAGATATTCTTTCCTATAAAGGGTTGCAGAGACAAATTAAAAAAAATTTTGTAATGTTGCTAATGTGATTAAATAGAGATATAATTTTTATTATGAAACTTTTATATAAAATTTTTTTTGATATTTCGAATAGATTTTAAGATATAAAAAAAAAGCTAAAAACTATTCTATATATATATATAAAGGGTGATTCATCCCATTTTTTCACCCTAATTAATTCTACATTTATTTATTTATTTCATCTATATACAGGGTCCGGCTGAATAACATGTAAAAGCGGCTACGACGTGATTCCTTATAAAAAAGTAAAAAAAATATATAGAATAAAATTTTTCTGCTTAGTTTTCGAGAAAATCGAGTTTGAAAGTCCGTTGCCTACGTATGCTGTTATACGTAGGCTAAGCTACGGTTTGTCGAGCGATTAATCACGCAACTAATCACGCATTCGAGCAATTAAAAAACCAAAATATGTTGCCAAAGGTTTAAGTATCGATAAATTAGACGAGCATAGTTATGTATCCGACAACGAGGACAACAGTTCCAGCAATACTATAATTCAGTGCTCGCAAGACTTCAAATAAGTTTATTGGAGCTGAAGGCAATCATGCATATATGGAAAAACTCCTGAAAAATTATCGCATTACATATTTGTATCTTGCGGAACAGCATAAAATAAAATGCATATAATTCAATAAAAATGTTTTATAACGAAGTGAAAAGATTCTGGAAAATCTTATATACATTCACTTGTAGGTACTTTATACAAATAATGCTTGTAAAATAAAAAGAATATGAATACGTAGCATTATTGCCTACTGTATCAGTTTTGGAGCCCGTCTTGTAAGACGCTCATTTTTGCTTACCTTACGAAAAAATTAATTATTGCAAAATTGCAAACAGTATTATAAAAACTGCTTATACTATTTGATAGAAGACACTTTTCAGTTTGTACTTATGTTTTTAAAGTTTTATTTTTACCTTTTGTTTAAGAAATATTGTCTAAAAACAAAGTGGTATATCGGTATCGGCGACTTTCCTCTAATAAATTATAAATACATCCTTTATAAATACATGTAACATTGCTTGAATTAAATATCTATATAAATTATGTACAATGTTTAAGCGAATTAACATATAAATTACAAATAAAAACAGGTTCCAATTTAGCAATTAGTATTTTGCAAGTAATTTGCGTAATAATGCCTCGATTAATATCGATTAATCTTTGATAATTAACACTACACACTGAAGACCGTATTCCATGCGTGCGATATATTTGATTAACCGTACATAACCGATTATGCTCGCGGATGCGTTTCATCCGATTTTAATGTACTACACCTGTATGGTTTTGTGTGCATTATGTATGAACGGAAACACTAAATTCTGCGTTTCAAGGAAAGGAAAATCTATAATACTTAGCGGTATAGCTTTTACGGGTATGAAATGTTTCATATAAACATTATAAGATTAAATGAGATTATTTATGCAAAATGTAAAATGCACTTTTACCTTATTCCTCTATTTTAAAGCAAATGCTTTTTTTTGTATCTTTTGTTTTTGGGTGAGAGCATTTGCACTTCATTATTTTTATTATCGTAATAATGTTTACCGACATTAATATCGTATCTGTCGCATGATTGATAGTTCGGATATGTCCGACTACATATGATATACCTATCTAAATTATGTTCTGCACATACTATGAACAATGACATGCTCGATATTACAAAATAGAGATAACATTTGGTTGGTTGCGTCGTGATATAAATACCAGATGTCCATTACTCAGAGGTAATTAATGCGACATACAAAGCAGCTGTTGCATAGTCGTACGTACACGACTTCCCCTAAATGTTGACAATTAATTACCGACACTCGAGTAATGATAACGATAATTACTCGCGATAATCATGGTCTTGGCTGACACAGTGATTTCTGCTTCGCTCTTCACTGATAAAAGGGACTATCTTATAATCGTAGTATTTCCGATGTAATTAAACCGAGAATTAAACAGAGCATACCTATTACTTGAACATTGCGGATTTTTTTTAACAACAGAAATTCGATAATCTATAACTCTATAAAAATAGAAACTATATGGACATAGAGGTAATTCAATCTGTCTAAGAATAATTTTTTATTGCGGATAATATCGATATAACAGTTATTCAAATATATAGAACACACAATTATCTGAATCTAATTTATTATCTTTAAATTTATTATCTTTAAGTTTATTATCTTTAATTTATTATCTTTAAGTTGAAGATATTGAAAAAAAATCAAATATGTGATTATTTCCGATGACTTGTAAAACAATATGTAATATTTGGGAAAAGCTAATTTTAACTTTATGTAAATGAAACAATAATAATTTTAAGATTAGAAACGAGACCGCTTATGAATAAATAAAAAATTATAACTTTTATTTTATTTTTTATATTATTGTATTTTTTGTAACATATATATATATACACACATATATTTTTTAAATATCAAAGAAACATAAAAATAAATTATTTTTGTTCCCCTTTAAAACCGTTGTTAGCTAAAAATGAATTGCTAAAGTTGAATGACTCAATATTTACACAAAAGTATTAGATTTTATTAAAGTATCATTTTAAAAATTGCGATATAAATAGCACAATTATGAAATAAAGGCTAAGCGGTTTAATTTGTGATATTACTCTTCTAATTCTTATTACATTTCAAGGCTGAAAATTTCGGCGCAATTTATAGGATTAGAATTGTAGTGTATAAATTCACACGGAATTGTTTTCAGCATTATGATCCAGCTTACCCGCTTAGCTTTTATTTCTTAATTAAATTTTATATTTCAATTTATATTTTAACTTATATTTAATGAATTATGTTTCACCATCTGTTTTTGTTAGCGCATTTTTTTTATTGCTTTTTCAGTTAAGAGGTAACACCTATGTAAAATTTTCAAAAAATCAATTTTTTTTCCTTTTAAAATACACTTTAGGGTCTCAAAAATAAAGTGCAAGTGGTTTTTTATTGCGATACATAATTTTTTTCGAAAATTATAGGCTCCCAAAAATTCAATTATTAACTTAAAAGTATTCACATTCAAAACTTTAAACGCGTTTTTCTCAAAACAGTATTTTTTACTGTTGGCTAGCAATAGAACTCAAACAATTTTTTACCTATTTACTTCAAATTTTAACAGTACTTAACAAATCACACTTTCTAAAGAAATACGTAGAATTTTTTTGATGAGTTACAAATTTTTTGAATTACAGTTGATTTTACTCGACTATTTTTGTGACGAAAATGGAACTTTTTGTTTGTACTTCCGCCATTTTGTCAAAAATCAATATTTTCAAAAACGGCTACGTATTTCGTAGATATTTGAGTAAAGAAAATAAAAAAATTTGTTTTTTTGTTCTAAATCAAAAATTACTGTTAGCCGCGGAGCACCATCGCGGAGCTATTTCGACTGTTTCCATCACGCTGCTGCAGCCATTTTGATAAATAAAGTTCTGAAAACATTATTTTTTGTACTTTTTTATGTGCTTAATAAAGTTATGAAACTCATTTTTTAATATCACGATTCATTAAACAAAAAAAATTCCCAAACGTAGACCTTATTTACAGCCGATTACAAAGGTATTCTTTAACTTGTTATTACGTTTTATTTTATCGCATTCGTAAATTTTTATTATTGTGTAAGAAATTCGAGTAATTGAACTTTGAGTATTTAAATTTGACTAGACATTTGTACAATGCTGTTTTAGGCTTGGTACAAAATATAGTCTATCAATGAAATTCTAACATCGATATGACGAGTACGCTATTTAACCGTCATGTATTGGATCCATTTTAATCGAATACATAATCACCTTTGTAGAGTAAAAAAGCCTGTTCATGCATTTCTCATAAATAGTTGACGTAAGCAAACTCATAACTCATATAACAGTGCAACGCGAATTTCCTTCTAATAAATTATTACTAGTTGTAAAAAAGAGAATGCGACATTTAATATGAGACTGGTACATCATTTATTATCGTGCAAATAACGAAATAATAAAAGGCGACTTGTGCGCCCGTGTGTAGAGATTTATTATTATTATTATTTATTCTCCGTCGTGCGACAGCTGCAAAGTTGACGTAGGACCAGAGCTAAAATATTTGAAACAATTAATAACTATGAACTTTAATTAGCTGTCTTGCATCTACGACATGATCGGTCAAAATGCGCGATGGAACGCTACCGAGTGACCGAATTAGCAGCTATATCGGCAAATGGACAACAGGTGTCACATGAATTTAGTTGGCAAATCCTCCAACGCCCGCTCGATTTAACTCCAAATATATTCTTCCTTTTTTTTTCATTACTGGGAACAGATTCTCTAAGTAGCTCAAACCTTTACATATCGCGCACTTCTCTGGTGAGAAGTATAATTGTAATATATTACATTGTGAAAAACGTTTTGAATTACAATAAATCTTAAACAAAACTATATACTAATACTAATCTATTAATATAGGTACATTTTACTATACTGTTGTTCTCGTGTTTTAAATTTCCACATACTCCAAAAATTATTACGGTTATATGTTATATAATCGGCATTAGAAAGAGTATAAAAATAAATACAATAGACATAGAATCGCTGCTGAAATTACTTCAATCCTTGTTCGAAACCGATTACGAGAGTTCGACGATTAGGAAACTTCGGCTCGACGAAATGCCGAAACCGGATGTTACGCCGCGATGCTGTACTCACCGATGTCGAATCCATTCGCAGCATCGCCCTGCGGGGCCAATGGAAAGCGATAATGGTGCTCGTTCGCCTCCAAATGCCGGATGCAGCCCTTAAATCCGGTCCTCACCGGAAGTCGCTCCAAACCGGTCGTGTTTCCGGGTCCACCAACGAAGAGAGGTTCGCGAAACGTAATTCTCGAGAACAAACCCTGCAATTGAAGTCGGAATTCTCTATATACATATGTAGTTATACATATGTAGTTGCAATGTAACGCACAAATCGGCACAATTGCATGGTTGGTTAATGCATGAAATTGCTCCATTGTTTAATGCTATTTCCAATTTCTTTGACAATGTATAAGCCCAATGATATTTCCTATTCCTTTGTATATTTCTATGACAACAATCATAACAGCATGAAAATTATCTCTACGAAATATTTTAATTATATTTAAGTATATAATAAAATATAATAAAACGATTCCATAGATAAAAAAATAACACGACTATGAATAGGTTTTATCGCTTCCCATTTTTCACAGAGATTTGATGTTTTAAAGAATTTAATTAATGCTCTGTTGCATTAATTAATATGATAATAGAAAATTAAAATATAATTATGATACGAATTTGGACAGAGAGATGAGAATAAATCTAATTGAATAAAAGAGGGAATTTGGGATTACAAATCTGATCAAAATTTAAAAAATAACGGATAATGGTGGAAGATATGCAATAGATATTCTTTCCTATAAAGGGTTGCAGAGACAAATTAAAAAAAATTTTGTAATGTTGCTAATGTGATTAAATAGAGATATAATTTTTATTATGAAACTTTTATATAAAATTTTTTTTGATATTTCGAATAGATTTTAAGATATAAAAAAAAAGCTAAAAACTATTCTATATATATATATAAAGGGTGATTCATCCCATTTTTTCACCCTAATTAATTCTACATTTATTTATTTATTTCATCTATATACAGGGTCCGGCTGAATAACATGTAAAAGCGGCTACGACGTGATTCCTTATAAAAAAGTAAAAAAAATATATAGAATAAAATTTTTCTGCTTAGTTTTCGAGAAAATCGAGTTTGAAAGTCCGTTGCCTACGTATGCTGTTATACGTAGGCTAAGCTACGGTTTGTCGAGCGATTAATCACGCAACTAATCACGCATTCGAGCAATTAAAAAACCAAAATATGTTGCCAAAGGTTTAAGTATCGATAAATTAGACGAGCATAGTTATGTATCCGACAACGAGGACAACAGTTCCAGCAATACTATAATTCAGTGCTCGCAAGACTCTGCACATTTCGAGCCGATTCCTGCGGGCTCCTCCCACTACTGTTCGAGGCTCGACGACCTAGTTGCCTATCGCGCGCGCGACGTTGTGGCTCAGGAACGTGTCCCTATACCAGAAATATACTAGGAGCGCACCTTCTGCCAAATCATTATTGAAATATATTTTTTATTAAAAAATTTATTTCTATTAACATAAAATTTTCTATTGTTAATGTAAGTTGTATTGTTAATATAAGTATATCATTAAGGAATATCATTACTTATATCTCTGAAACTAACCATAGGATCAAGTTGTGCCCATTGAAACATTTGTTCAGAATGGCGAGAATAACATATAAAAAATTCAGCCAATTCGACCGAAAGCACTTTTCCATATGATTTGTGTCATTAATATCTGATTATATTAATATTCTTATAAAAGCAATTTAATAATTTTTAATGCTAACAAGCATCAAAAATTATTAAATTGCTTGTTGAGTTATTCAATACTCTGGTTCTTTTCTGTTGATTGTCTTTCAAGACTAAAAAAGATGTTGGCGCACGGTTTGCAGAATTAAATATGTAGTCCACACAGAATTATTTAAGCACTAAAATCCGCTTTAACAGAATATAGGATTCCTCTTATTCAATTAAAAAATTAAAATGTTAAGATGTTCGTGACAGATTTTATGCAAAAAGTCTTTAATCAAATAATATGCCGTGAGTCAAGAAATACTAATTATAAAAAGAATAAATTAAAATTAATGTCGACAACTACGATGGAGCAATAATTGCATACGGTGCACGATAACATTATGAATGACAAAATAGAAAATTCTTTCATGTTTTCTAAAATCCATGTTATTTTTGTATGGTGCATTTTTCGCATTTTTTACCTTTTATCGGACGACAAACTATGCCCATTGTCATACATGACGTCGTTTTATCGTGCATTTTGTATTCAAACGCACGCGTCTCGCGCGATCATAGGCTATCGCTTCTCGAATTCCATTCTTAAAGGAAATTCCTCAAATCGGATGAAAAGATCGCGTTCGCGATCGCGAAGGCTTTGGTTACCAGTTTCTTTTTAGCTTCCTGTTCTTTTTTCCAAAGAAAAGAGAATATGGCAAGGGGAAAAAAGAGGGAGGGTGGGTGAGAGAAAAAAGAGAAAAGCCGGTGAGAACAGAAGAAGACAGCGGAGAGGTCAGGGATGGCTTCTCTAATTACGACGCTGTCGTTAGGACACCGAGTGCTTAATGGCACTCTAGGATAAAGTGGGCTTGAAACGCGAAGCCATTTGCCGGCGATGCTGCCCGATTTTAAAGGTAATTAAACCTAGCCTGGGAAAAACAGATGGGTCGAGAATCAACCGATAATTCCTTGTTATCATACCGCTATTCTGGACGCCTGAGAGACTCGTTGAAGAAAGAGGATTGGTAGAAAAAGTAGATGAGACATTTATCGACGGTACTTGCTCTCTTAATATTCAATGTTCATTCATTAGTAATTATCAAACTCGATTAACTTGAATAGGTATGTTCATCATATTTATATATTTACATTCAATACATAATTTTTTAGAAGAACCTTCTTCTCTCTTTCTCTTAATGTCTTAATTTATTTTGTAAAATGTATAAAAAATTGTGCAACGAAGAATAAGTAATAATGTTTAAAAATTCAAGAATATATAAGAATCTATTATTAAACGCTCAAATTAATAAGAACTTTGTAAAATAGTAATCTAATACTTTGCATTTTTTCCTGAAAGGTTATCCATTATCACCAGTGTAAAAACGTTTCGTAAGTTTCAGTTACACTTCTGATCCTTCGTTCTCGGCGCTGCATCTCATTTGCAAAATAACAAGGCAAATGGGCGTCGCAGAAGAAACGATGCAAACCAAATTAAGAAAAAAAGAGCAAGAAATGCGTAGCAAGCGTCGAATACAATTAAAGCAAGTAACGGATTAGTTGACAATAAGATTTGTGTATTCGTTTGCAAAACGACTATGAAAACCTCGTGCGTCAAAGAACATTTACGGCGTTTGCATTAGAAAGGAGTTACATTATTCTGCGGCACGTTGATGCATCGTAAATTAAATCATTGACTTTTAATTAAGCACGATTTTCAAACTTTAAAGACGCGAAAGTTCGTAACCAGGGTAAAACTAATCTGATTCCATTTTAGTTGTTAAAACTATAATTAAATTATTACAATATAATCTAATATTGTGTAATATTAGGTTTAAGAGATTAAATATATTAATTGATTATGATTAATTAATTCTGATATATACATATATTGCAAATAAAAATTTATTGATACATTATATCATAGTACGTGCTGTGAAAAAATATGGATATATCTTTCATGTATCTACATATTTTATAAACAATAATAGAAAAAAGATCTCTATCCTATTCAAATGTAATCGAATATTGAAATATCTCGCGATCTATAAATTGAGTTTGGTTATATGAGATAATTGAATCGATAGGAATTGTTGTAATGATTATTGTTTATCTCTTTCTCTCCATAATTATAAAATAATTATTTCTGTTTAATAGGCGATGATATCGCGTATACAATATTAATGCTTGCCAATATGCAACTGATATTCTATAATTATGTAAATTATAAAAAAGAAGAATACTATGTGAATCTTTTTATTTTTGTGTATATATTTAAATTATTATTATATATATATAATGTTAATAATATTAATAATAAATACTTTTTTTTTTACATTTATTTTAAATTTATAAGTTATACAAATTATGTTTTACAATTCTTGGAATAAATAAAGTTTTAAAAAATATGATATGATGTGTATCAATAAACTTATTAAAAGTAAATAATATTAAAATAAGTTTGTTTGTTATTTGATTTTTACTTATACTTAGGATACAAATACTGAAATCTATTCCTTAAACTTTTGTTTCCAACTTTAGTTGACTATTAATCGACAATTACATAAATTGACACAATGACTACGTAACGATACATTTTTGCAATATTTAAATGCATTTCGACGAATTTCCATTTATTACGTGGGTCCGCTTTATTACACGATCTTCTACTTACGTTATTTTAACGAACTCTGAACGAACGTGAAAGTAATCGATTGAAACGGATTAATATGGGAAAGAGCGAAATCGATAGACGATTACTTGGCCGGAAGTACCTTATTCAGACATGTTTTATGGGTAGTGGCACTTTTTGCTGATTAGATTGATCGAGAAGGTGCGGCTTCGTTTTAGGGTGTGGTTCTTCGCTTTTAACCTCCGCCGTCTATCTCGGTATAACAGACTATTCGTACTCTTTCAATTTCCCATGTCATTCACATTTTATTACATATAATACATATGTTACCTCATAATTATCTTTACCCCGTATTTATTTACTTTGAATTCTTTGGTCAATTTTTTCGGTCGGTATCTTTTTAAACAACGATATTGAGGAAAGTTACAATTTATTGTAACTTTCTAATTTTTAATTACATATTTATGACATACATTTATACGCTCAACTTTAAATTAAGTAATTATATTACTTTTATTAAAAATGTTCTACTTAAAGTTACTTTGAAAATATTGTTTATATTTGTATTTTGTTATGTAAAACAATATGTGATTTATTACTTTGTTGTGTGAGAGAATTGCGATCTTTTCAAAGTTTGCATCTTATTTCTTGTAATATCTAGGATAGCGAAAATACAGGGAACTTCTCATGCGAAGCTTTTGCTGCTTCTATAGCAAAATGAGAATTTTCAAGAAAGCAAAGAAAGAATTTTCAAGAAGTTTTGTTACGACAACATTGTATAATGTGTTTTAGCACATATCAATATAACTCGCAACGAAGTTTCAACTTTGCGTAAAATAAAAAAAAAAGAAAGTCAAAAATTTTGCCCACATGGAATACCCTAGAAAGAAGTTACGAAATGTAAGAACGTTTCTTCAATTTCCGGACTACATTCTCTCATTAAAGTTTCCGGGAAGTTTCCGTGAGATACAACAGCGTTTAATGTTGGTTCCGCCCTGGTGCCATTAAACTTTTCATGAAAGTGGATTTCGTCGAATAGAAATAATTTTATTTTACTGCAGCTGACTATGAACGTTGACGGTATTCGAATAAAATAAGTAGGTATTGTTGGTACATGATGCCATTTGCATTTGTATGGTTTTTATACGAATTATAAATTTATTTTCTATTATCATTAATTCGTGCATCTTTTATAATTATTTTAACTAAAAAATCTATTAAAACAACGAGAGAGAGAGAGAGAGAGACAAAGAGATTTTAATAAATAATATTTCAAATTAATGTGTACGTAATGAAATATAATGTTTATTTATCGCTACGAGCGACAATGAATTATTATTATCGCAATCAATTGAATTTCGTTTTCTTATTCTATTTTTACGTAGAACACGAGCGGAAAGTCCTAAGGGAGGCGATCGAGCGTGTGGACGTCACGGTAAGAATCTCGAGAATTCGAATAAACTCTCACTAGTAATCCCGATAATACGTCCCGCCTCACTGCGAAATATCGATTCCCTCCTTGAATCCGCGGTATATGCGGGTAAATAATATCCGGCGTCTGGCCTTGATGGAAATAAAATGAAGTGCCCTTACCTTCGATCGTCCCTCTACCCTCTTCTCTTGATTCAGCTGGATCCAGGCATCCCATCGATGTCTGTAGACACTCAGAGTGTTCCACTCATTCAGTTTCACCGTTTCCGTGCTCCTCACGGTGCCCACACCGCTGCCACAATCAAACCTTATCGCAGAAAGATATGGAGATAATGTTAATCGATTGGAAATGTTAGACACGTCGCATCATGTGGAATATTGAACGTTGTCGGTATGGAATTTATAATATAATATTCTTTTGATATACATGAAGCCAAAATCATTGTACAAATAAACCCTTTTAATGAGCGAATGGTGTCGCCAGTATTTGCGATGCTATTCATTGAAGCAAATCGTTCACTTCCGTATATTCCGTATAACGTTTGCTCGATTCAGCTTTATTGAAAATTTATTTTATTTCGCAATAAAATAATAAGTTAGTTTCATATAAAAATTCATACAAATATATTAAAAAGGAAAGAAAAGATTGCTATATAAAGCAAATTTATTTAATATATTTTTGGAATCATTTTTTCTTAAATTATTAATTCAGGATTATATATTATCATAGCATTGAATCAATAATTAAAATATTTTATTCCAAAAAATATTGGAAATAAATTTACTTTATGTAGCATTGTTCTGCTCTTTTCTTTTTTGTCTAATCTCAATGTGTACATGTACAAAAATGTTACAAAAAAATTAATTATCGCTCTAATAAAAATTTTCCTATATTTATAACGTTTTTATATGTATGTACGTATATCCATATATTGAGTTTAAACAAAAAAAAAGAAGAACAACGCTACATAAATTTCCAATATTTTTTAAATAAACAATTTTTTTATATATTTGTTTATCTCAGCGGTCTGTTAAATGTAATAATAAATAAATATCTCTCGATATATCGTAATGCATGATAAATTTTCATTAATATGTATGGCGAGAAGAATACGACTAGCATTCAATAATATTTGCGGTTGTTTCGGAATATTGTTGGCATTATTCGTCACAATATAGGAATCATCATTAGTGACGATAATCTACTTTTACAATCATTGCAAAAGTAAACCAGTGTTATGTAAGCGTGTACAATAATACTCTCTGTTTAGTTAATAGAACAATAAATCCATACGGCTAAGTATTTAGTGTTCGAATAATGAATTGTAGAAACGAATCTGGAAACAATAGGCAGCCTCTGATATCAATGAATAAATTACGCGGCACGTTTGATGAATGTGTCTATGAATTTGGTATATGATCTATGATTTCAATCCCTTTATCCTGCTGTTATGTCCAAGCCCTTGGAAATTAGATTCAATGGGAGAGACAAGGATGGAGATGGAGAGGGTATGGAAGTACGCTTAGACTTTATCTCACAGGTATACGCGCAGAGGCGAATACCTGAGAGTCGGACGCACTTTTTATCGCTCCGAAATATGGGTCAACGTCCCGAAGGGATGCTATAACACATGTTTCCTACGAGCAGTGCGTACGTCGGTCCGAATTTTGAGTCAAGGAAATTAATCCTTATAACTCGGGACTGGACCACGTGCGATCTCTGAAAAACGGTGGGAGTACGAGGTCTTTTTGATTTTTAAAATGGAAAGTAATCGTCTTAATAAAGTTCTATTTTATTACTAAACATAAATTACAATATGTTAATGAGATTTTAATTATATGCGCTTAAAAGTAATATAGAAATAATATTTATACGCTAACATTGAAAAATTAAATTTATATACATGTTATAATACTACAATCTGTTTTACAAAGAGAACTAAAACTCGACCATCTGACATCATTAATTGTTGATCGCAACGATTACTGGTTATAATTATAAAAGATAAAGAAAAACATTTGTGCCGCTAGCGAATTAAGCATAGGGCCAGCGTGAATCTAGAGTATGTGTGTGTGTGTGTGTATGTGCATATGTGTATGTGCTGGCGGAGAGGCGATACATGTAGTATTAATTAAGTTCGATAATCATAATGGAGGAAGGAGGAAAGAGGTCATGAAAGAAGTCGATTGGGACTAAATATGGGAAGGAGGAACTAGGAAAGTATATTGGAATGTGAATTCCAGGAGGTTGTCCGGCTCGACTATGACGGCTATGACGGCTCGGATTTCCTCGGGATCAAAATAATCAGGGTCGACAGTACAGGTGCCCTGTGGGAGAGAATCGGTGATACAAGGAAAACGGTTAATCACCGAGTTAAAGGTGTCACCAGGATGTATATAGTATCGCTGGAGGGGAGGAGCTGGGAATTCTTCTAGAATTTCCACGCTTGACGTGGAATCGGCAGGAGAGGGTGGTGACAAAGTGACAAGGGAGCGGACTGGAAGTGGGAGTCAGGGGTATGCGGTGGAGTGTCAGGAAAAATATGCTCCGTCAAGGCGTCTGAAAACGCGAGTGACGAAGATCGCGGGGTAGGAGGAGGAGGTATCGCCTCTAATATTGTATATTCTGAGTCGGTTGAGCCGGAGGGGCCGGCGGAACCGGTGATGGCGAAGGTGGTGGAGGTTGTTGCGGAGGTGCGTCCTCGACTGAATCTACTTGATTTTCGAGATACTCCTAGTACGCTTGGTTCAGGAGTCTGCGCGCTTCGAGGTAGGCCCGATTTCTGAGTCAACCTCGATGGGGACGGTGGCGTTTTGCTCGAGATTTCCCTATGGATTGATTGAGTTAGGTTCTGGAGTAAGTAATTTGAGAGGAGCGACTTATTGCTTGGTTGTCTGGGCAGATGACTTGTCGGATTTTCTGAGTGTTCAGAATGCCTTATTGCAGTCAGGCCTCAACTCACTGGTCTCGTTGGCGGTGATGACCGGTTGCCCTCGGAACGATTGCCCCCTTCGCGTACTGATGTTAACAACTACGTAAGTAATTATGTAAAGAGCGGACGCTTTTTCTTTTTACCCGGTGTCTCGCGATGTCGTGGTTACAACTTATGTAATATTTAATCCTAGAAACAATTATAAAAGTAAAACACAGAGATCTTAAATTCTGTTTCAACAATTTAAAAAAGAAAAAATAAAGTAACACAACTGAATAAACAATTTTTCCCTATGTGTTAAAATAGATATTTTATTTTATATAAATATGTACTGAACAATCATAAACATGTTGTTTTAATCGTTATTCACGAGGGAAGTACAAACACATAAGGGATTCAAATAAAAAATCATATATTTCAATATAATATGGCAAAAATGTATGTCGGTACTCTATATATTCTATATGAATTTATTTTTTTTCTTCTTCTTGCCTTGTATTTTTATTAATTATCTGAGCAATAAATACGGAAATTGAAAGTATTATAATCTCTTTGACAAAAAAAAACAACTTTTAACAAAATGAAATTATTAATGTATGTACAATGTATCTTCATAATGTTTTCAATAATTTAAATTATGACTCTCCTAAAAATCTTACTTGATAATTTATAAAATGTTTATAAAATTGATGATTATATTAATTCCAAAAATATATTTACATATATTCGTATCATTGTATCTTTGTATCTTTGAATTCCAAAATAATAAGTCTCTATAAGATATTATATTTATTCACCTCATGATAGTTTCACACGCCCTACACCTTCTACACATTTTCCTCTTCCTCTCATTGTCACATTCGTTCGTTGCACTCACGACACTCGCGAAAACACAATTAATTACGATTACACGTACTAATTACCAGAATAAGATTATCTCACAGCACTTTACATGGTACTCTCGACGTTAATCTCACACGACGTGCACTTTACTATTATATATTGCAACGGAAGAAGAACGTGAAAAGAGTACGAAGTTTTGTAATCCTCTTGACATTCGCAAATTTGGCGCGCGCGCGCGCGCGTGTGTGTGTGTATTTTTTTTATTCGTTGTATACATCTATAATAATCTATATATATATATACATATGTATATACGAATAAAATCTCAAACGGTAAAAAGTTTTATTAAATCACAATGTATAAATTCTGAATTTGTTATATAGATCATAGATAACGAATATTAAAATACAAGTTTGATTACGAATCTCATTAGTTACACACCATTAAACATCGTTTAATTTAAAGTCGATCTATTTCATATACGCGATATTCCATTTATGATCGACAGATTTGAAAATGATATTGGTATTTCAATACTATCTAATTAATAAAGTCGAATTAGTGACTAATTGAGACGCAATCATGCGAAAACATACAATCAAATTTTGTTGATCGTAAAAGTTAATTAATCGCACAAATTGTTAACTATTTGTAAAAAAAATAATCGCATTTTCACAGATAATACGACAACATATGAAGTAATTTACTTTATTACTAGGGTAAACTCGGGTATTATGGCCATAGGCTGCTGTAATTTCTTCAATAATTGCTAAATAGTGCATTTTTGTAGTTATTCTTAGAGATGAAAAAAAAACAGGTTTTTTATTTCAAAAAAAGCATCAAGTAAAAACGGATTTTTTACGATTCACAATGGTTTTTTAATCAAAATGATGTAAAATTCATAAAAAATATAGAAAAGGATATAGAATTCAATATTCGTTATTAAAACGTTTAATGTCTATGTCATTTCGACATTATTTAATATTTATTTTCTTTATTTATTATAATTTTTAATTAATTAATTATATAATTTATTATAATTTCTCAAATCAAGACGGAAACATCCTTGAGTTGTTGCGTTGTCTAATGAAATTAATATTCTTTATTGACAATGGCTTAAGTATACGTTAATTATATTATATGAACGACAGATATTTTACTCCAATTTTAAAAGCTAAATAAGCAATGGCCCATACTATTGTTATCACAGATAATATTTTAGTATAATTAACACGTACTGTTTTGTTATATAGATAATATTGGTTGTAATTATACGTATTTTAAATTTTAATTATTGAAACAGAGTTCCAATAGAATATCAATTCAAGGATAGTCCTATGAATGTTGTTTCACTAGTTTATATTTTATAATGTGTATACAATTATTAAAAGCTTCGTTTACTTTAAAGCCAAAAAAATGTTAAATTTTTGTCGACCAGTGGTTATAAAGAAGTTTGGGAAAGATGGCCATTAACCAAGTAACATAAATAGGTACACATTGTTTTTTATGGAAATTTTTATTTGATTTAAAAAAAATTATAACATAAAAATAATATAGAAAAATTTTGTTACCACTGTGTACAATATCATTATATATTTATTTATCATTTTACAAAATGTTACATGCATCTTTAACATAACATAAAATATGTGTGGCTAAATATTCCATAATATCATAATTATTTTTTCTTTAAAAAACAGATAAAATGATTAGTGCATACGTTATTATAATTTTTGATAATATTAAATTTCTAAACGTTTTATCTTTATTATAATTTTGATAGTATTTATTACTTTATGCTTCAATAAAGTGATATACCAAACACTATTACACAGTTGGAAAAAATGTGGTGAATTTAACATAAATAGTATATCCAAAACGGTCCAAAACTCAAATTTTTGGGTTAGTTTAACACAAAATAAATATATTTGAAGGTTACACAAATATTATATAATATAAAAGAATATATATCAAAAAGGTAATATCGACATAGTTTGTAAATAAATCGTGTGGAAGCATATTTTTTTAAGAAAATTAAATTTATGATATATGTTAAATTAACACGTATTTTATTCATTTGTCTTGGAATTTACGTTTTAAAACATATTATTTTTATGTTACTTATTCACTTACTCATAAATTATGTTATTTTGACACTAAGAAATTGAATATCAACTTCACAAAAAAATCTTTAAATAACATAATCACATTATGTTAAATTAACACAAACTGTTAACACAAATGTGAGTGGATCGTTTCCAATACAAATACACAAATTTTTTTACTGTGTAGAAATAAAAAAATATATATCTTTTCTATTTTAAAACAGTATGGTCATCTTACCCGAGTTTATCATACCGCACCGGTTCATCGCACGAATAACAACATGGCGATAGACTTCTGTAGACTGTATTGAAATGCCTAATAAAGGCCAACTACCCAGGTCTTGCCGTAAGTCAGCTTTAAATTAGTCTTCTTTGAGATATTTAATATATTGTGAAATAAATTTTAAATATTTTGTTTCTTTATTAAAATTTTAATTATTTCTTTATTAAAACTTTAAAATTTAATTATCAATACATATTCAATATATTACGATTTCTCGTTATAGTTTAACAACTCGATCCGACATATTATTTCACGTTATCAGTATTGAAATATTAAGCAAATTACATTTAAATAGAGTGTAATATACTATATATACTCGATCCAAGTGTCGCTGAGGAGATAATTATCGTATATGTATATCGCGAAACAATATAATCTCTATTTTCTGTCGTCCTGATTCCTACTCCAAATACCTACTGCTATGTATTTAATTAATAAGTACAGTCGTAATGAAGTTTGTTTTAATACTGTCACTTACATAGTATAAATTTGGCATTTGTAGATATTTCATTTGTAATTTGTGAAAATTTTTTGCAATTTGAAAATTCATTCGACCGCTCGTAAGCTTTGTTTATTTGCGAGATTAGTAGTTTTATATATAAGTTAATAAATCGCGTAAAAGACGCATGTCTACTTCGATAAGGGATTATCACTGCTTCAATCTTTATCAATGCAAGATAATAAATGCTTGTAGTAACTGTAAGATATAGTAATGTTTAGTACATAATATTTGTCGCGATTGCTTTTTAAAGAGTAATGATAAAAAATAATAAATAGAATAGCTATCATTACCTGTCGGCTCAATTTTGTTACGCCAATAGCTATGTTTAGTAGAAAAAGCAGCTTTGAAAATGATATAAGATTCTTTAATATGATTGGTTCTTGCTATCTACATCATGTATATATATAAACAAATTAAGTATATATTAAAGAATCTTACAATAGTTGTAAAGTTGCTTTTTCTGTTAGACGTAGCCATCGACAACATCACACGACGGTCTCGTGTGTTTACTGCTAAAACAATTCTAATTGTAAATATTCCCATAAAATTAAACCTATAAAATATTAAACATTATATAAAATAAATACGTGGTGATTATTCTACTTCTTGCATTTCAAATTAATTCTGAATGTTATTGCATATTTTATTATTGCATATTTTGCGCTTTGTTTTGTAAACTAATTAGCATTGTTTAAAGTAACAATTGATTTTATATAAAAATTTTTAAAACAGATATTAATTACCAGGGTTGGGAACATTACTTCATAAAAGTAACACGTTACTGTTACCGCTACTTTTTGTAAAAAAATAGGGTGCTTTTGCAATAACGTGAATCCAGATACAGTGAACTCTAAAGTCACGTTATCCTTTTCTTAATCAGTTAAGTTAAGAAGAAGATAACTTGACCTTAGCGTTCACCGTACCTGGATAAACGGTATATTACAAAAACTAGGAATGCACAGGATCGTAAAATTACCGGATACCGGATATTGGATATCCAAACAAAATGTAACATCGGATATCTGATTATCCGCTCGGATAGTAAAAAAGTGCCAAATAATACCGGATACCGGATACTTTCCGAATATCCGGTACATCTCTAACAAAAACTCCCTATTAACTCGTTACCTCGTTACTCGTTAGGTACTAATTTTAAAAAGTAATGCCTTATCATTACTTGAAAAGTAACGATTCATTACCTCTTTTGTTACTTTTTTATAATATTAAAATAAAATATTAGATTTAAAAATTAGATTATCTAATAATCAATATTAATTATAAAAGTCAATATTAATTATTTAAAATTCTAAGCTAATTTTATAGCAAATTTTTTTTATATTAAACTTATGTAAAATAAAAATCTTCAATAATTTTTTAAACTAATATTTTCATTTTTAATACACGCTTATCTTTAGGAAATTAAATTATAATTTACAAACATAGATTTCATTAAAAGTTTTTAATGAAATCTATTTCTACATTGGTTCTAAATATCAATATCGTTATTAAGAGTGCATTCCAATATTCATTGCTAATAAAAATGTATAGTTCGATACATATATATATATATATATGTGTATATATATATATATTACTCACAATCAGTATTGGCAATGACTATCGGAACGCAGCTTAAAATATAAAACATTTTTTAATATATAAATTTCTATTAAAAAATATTTCTAGCAAATTAAAAATATGATCTATTGAACAATTATAAAGATAATAAGAGATTAAAATAACGATAGAAGTAACAGCTTAATTCGTTACTTTTATAAATATTTAGAGACAAAAAAGTGATCGTTATCGAAAAAATGTTAAAAAAACAGTAACGGTATCATAACAAGTAACGCGTTATTTTCCAACCCTATTAATTACTTTGCGTTTTAAAGAATTTTTAAATCTATTATTTGTAGAATATAAACTATATTTTTATTTTAAGAGAAAACTGTTTATTTATTATTAATTTCAGATTATTATTCAGATTATTATCTTTGTCAAGACAGAAATAAAATCATATGATTTTAATAAATGGAAGAATTAAATCGTTACAACATTGCGATTTTCTCATTCTTTTCTCTTAATTTATTAAAGTCATACAATTACATTGCTCTCGATATAAAAAAAGTAACAATAAGAAGTGTAATAATAAAATAATTTTTAAAAATACTTCTCAAAACAAATGTTGTTTTTCAAATGAACTTTTATATTCAGTATCATTAAATTATGTGTACATATATTGTTAATGTGTCTATATCAATTTAACAGTTTTTCCAACAAAAATACATTTTTAAATTGTTTATATAGTTGTTATAAATACGGATAATTCAATGTTTGAGTACATTATTACATATATTGCAATATCGAGGAAAATAACGTTCGTAATATTAAAAGTGTCATGTGGTAATATAACACTTTGCAATGTACTTGTAGGTGAAACTTTACGTAGTGCGTTGTAAAATAAATCCTACGGCATCGTTTTCACGGCGAAAAAGTTTTCCGTCGATGGGGTGGCGCAAAACGTTGTAAAAGAGGTGAAATGGGATCAGACTATATTGCAAAAGGTAAACTTTTAGTTTTTGCGCTCATAAATCGTACGTGCGCTCCATTAAGTCACGGCTTATTAAGCTGTAAACGAAAAATTAGTCCCGGCACGGAATGCTTAATTAATGACCACGTCAAACTCACGGCGAAGTCTCCGAAATTATGGCGCCGAAGTGTCCTATAAAGTGTCTTGTATAACTTTATATTCAATACATGCTTCTTCTTACCAGGATAAAAAAATCGATGAATCTTGTTTTTGATCTTTAAGAAGTTTACGTGTCTTGTAAAATTTTCATCACACTTAGACATTTATAATAATTTCTTAATTTCTAAATTTTTTCAGATGTTACTAATTACCTTCTGTGAATTTAATCCTATTACAGTTTGCTTTTTTCCATATTTCTTTCCTGGTATTGTTTGCTAATATATCTCGTTACAAATTTAAAATCGAATCTTTTGTGTTTATCTTTTAATTAATTAAACAATTTTGTGCAAATTTTAATTCTCTTATTACATGCAAACGTATTATAAGATAAAAAATAAAAAATCGTATAATCGTTTTTAATATATTAATTACAATTACTAATCATTCGACTGATATTTAAGTAATGTTAAACAAATTTAATTACCTGAATTCGATAAAGCCATGATGCAGTATCAAGGCCATAAAGTCACCCTGAAGATCGTCCCGTTCTCCGGCCAGGAGAAGCACTCCGTCCCATGCTTCTGGTCGAAATTCCAATTCTAATTGGACGTGTTTGTAAGCGGCTCTTAAGGCGGGAAAAGCCAGCCAACCTGACCCAGTGAAACGTGGTGATCTAACTTCAGCTTCTGAAACACAATATTAAAATCTTTTTATTGATTTAACGGAATTTGTTGGTAAATTTCATTTACAGTCATTGAATCGAATAGAATTATGTTATTAGTGATATCTATAATGATATTATAGTATTACGTGCGGTAGATTTGGAAAATTAATCCTTGTAATATGGTAGTAAAAGAATCAATATCTACATTGAGGATCTGCATGTTGCTGTAGTTATACATACTGTTTGTAAATTCTCAAAAATATACGAAAAAATTTCCTTTTAACAAATTTTAATAAAATCTTTGACTTATAAAAATTTCACATATTTTGGAAAGGATTTTATAACATATATATTTATTTTTGATAACATTTTTAATAGGTATATATAATTGCTTAACATATTATAATCGCTTATTAATAAAAAATATTATTTTATAATATAGAATTCGCTATGACGACCATTGTTTAAAAAAGTAACATCTCAACAAATATATTTTTTAAAAATATCACGAAGCAATCTCGAAGGATACGTATCTGTTGCAATTTGCAACCGAGATACGTGCGAATGGTTAACATGCTGGTATCGTCGGCCACTTTCGAAGGATACATCGAATGGAAGGGAAAAGAGCGGAAAATCGGGAATTCCGGCCACACGTGAGGCTTATGGAACGTCCCTTTACCTCTACGATCTACAACCTCGTATCAATCACATGAGTGTACCGCAAGGTGTACCCGTAGAAAGACCTCGAGCACGTGGAACACGTGAGCGTAAGGGTGACGATAAATCAGACTAGGCCAGAAGAATAGAAAAAGTTGCGCCCGTGGGGCCTGGAAATGGAATTTCAGTTCTTGATAGCGCCGGGAATCCTCGACGCTATCGTGTAACAAAGCGTTGCTCGACTGGCACAATCGTAAGCGCAATTACAACGGGTGATATCGGAAAGACGGGAAGAATTTATCGTATACTGACACGTTGTTTTAGCGCGAAAAAATACTTCCGATCGGTTTTTCTTGATTCTGTGGTACGTTCGATTTCATCTAAATGTCGATTTTAGGTACAGCAATATTTGTTTTATCATATAAGAAATTAGTTATATGTATTACAATTTGTGTGAATATCTCCTTTTTAAGATAATGATATTTTTAAAGTTTTGTTAATTATTATTGCAAAATTTTGTTAATTATTATTTCAAATTATAATTTATAATTTTAATTAACTTCAAATGAGTATAATTTATCAATTATCAATAAAACAATGGGACTGAATATTAATGTGGCATAGTAATGTAAAATTTTGATTAGAGAACTTAATAACATATAGCCTAATGGTATAAAATATAGGAAAATAACGTCAATGTAATCGAAATACTAATATTATATAAATTTCTTCATATCCGGAGTTGAATAACTAAGTTGCTCAGATCATATATTCTCTCTTTGCAGTAGAACAAGTACATCGCAGGCAGACCATAGATTCAACTCTCACAGTAGAATAAGTAAATTATAGCCGGATCATATATTTCTTCCTCTACTAGTAGAACAAGTATATTATATTCGAACCAATGCAATTCTCTTTTCGATTACACATCCATGTATTTTCAATATGTTTAGCTGCACTACAGTTATAGAATTGCGCAGCAATATTTTATACATAATTTTATGTAGCACATAAGATTATAAATAGAATTCTATTCTGAATTCTAATATAAATCATAAATCAACTGAAGTCAGGTTAATAAAAAAATAAACAATCCTCAGTAATAGTAGATATATCAATTGAATTAACTGATAATTATTATATTTAAAAAATCTACGAATTCATTGAAAGAAGTACATTAGTGTCTTGCACTATCACAATGTTATTTATAATCCATATTACCTTTTAAAATATCGTTTTTGCGTTACATAAAAGTATTTAAAAGACATAGCAAGTAAATAAGTTGCTCATTGCTGGAAGATGCAAGGGGTAAGAGAGGAAACGCTCATTGATTAAGATCGAACATTTCAAAGTTATCGTCTGATGTTCGCATCGCGCTTGATTTAACGCGAGAAACGAACTTTCGGAGCGAGAGAAACAATGTTTCCGCCGCTCACAGTCTAAGCGAGGCGTGTAAGCTATCGAACCGATCGAAACGGTGGTCGTTCGAAAAGAACGGCGATGGTAACTCGTTTCCTGCGGTGACTTGATTGATCGTTTCGGCATTCGAGTCGTGTCTTTATGCAAATTAAGCGGATCAAAAGACTTCTGCAATTTCCACCCAAGCTTTGCTAGCTGGACATAACCAGCGTTGGTCTTCTCAAAGCGTTGTCCTACAACGCGAATGTTAATGAAGATCATTTCTTCGCCGTTAAAAACTCCCACTGCCAATTAGTAAGTGTCACTGTTTAAGTGGGTTACACCTTAAAATTTATAGCACACGGTTCTTACATTATAATTACATAAAAAAAATATTTTGTGGAAATTTTGCATTAAAATCTTTATTAGAGAAAGAGAGGAGTGGCATAAAAGGAATAATAGAAAACAAAGGTTACAATTATTAGCATAGTTCCAAAACATATCTTTGATCGTGTAAATTATATGCAAATTTTTTAAATCATTACGTAAATCAAAGACTGCCTTTTTTAAATATCATACCTCTCCTTTTTACTCTTCTCTCTAAAAATTTAAAAATTTCACTTGCCAATGGTATTACTCATACCAGTTAATAAAGCGGAATTCCATCGTCTGCCCACTCGCCAAAGCATACCTAATAACTGAAGAATAATTTACATTTAAAAAATGTGAAATCTCAGCATTTTACGTTTAATACTGGCGAGTCTTTTATGTGGAAATTTTGCATTTCCAGCATACTTTGTCGTATAAATGAAAGTGCATAAACAAGTGTATGTTTACAATAAATATAAAGTAATATAACATGAATATATAAAATATAAATATATGTTTTTATTATGATAATAATGTAGGTAAAGCAGAAACAGCTACAATCTACGTAAAATTGTAAAATATAGATCTGTATTTATATAGTCATGTTTCTAGTAAAGAATATATTTGAAATCAATCTTGAGACAGTTTACATAAATTTCGGAAATCAATTTCATATTTATTACGTTTGTAACCATGATTATTCACTTGAGAAATTCAGATAAAGTTTTAATCTTGAAATAATTTCAATTTTGTTTTTCACGATTTACTGATTCAATCATGAAAGAAGATTATATGTATATTTTTCAATATAAATGAATATAATATATATTTATAATTATATATATAATTATAATACATATATATATATTAATATAGATAAATATAAATTGTTTCATTTTGTAATATTTATTCGAAAGTAGCTTGCAAAGAGAATAATTATTTATATGAAAAATCTCATTTAGAGCTCGAGAATATGTTGAAATATTGAACCTAAATACAATAAAATATTTTCCTTTATTATAATATTTTGTATTAAAACATAATGATGTTTAATAATTAGTACAGTAAGAGAGTAATACGCATGACTGAATTTAATATTTATTGATTTAATATTTCCAAATTCGGTTAAGGACATGTCAGCTGTACTAAATTTAACGTTTATTTGAAGAATAAAGTTTATTTTGGTTTTGATCAAAAAAATATCTTAGAACTATTTATTGGAATATTTATGAAAATTACTTGCTTATTATAGTATACTTTCTCTCTCTCTCTCTCTCTCTCTCTCTCTCCCTCCCTCTCCCTCCCTCCCCTCTCTCTCTTTACATGAATATAGCGCACACGTGTAATTTATTGCTCCGTTATCCGAGATGTTTTCTGCTGGTTGCTGCCCCGTGTGGGCTTCTTTTTCAGGACCATTGTCGAGTGCTTCCTCTGCTTGACTTTTTCTGCTATATGTAAGTCCTGGACTCTTGCATCTCTGTGGCTTTGGTGTTGAATCGTATTATCTGTTTTCTGCAAATTGCTGAGGAAGTTTCTGGAACTGTCTGCCTTGCTGATTTTTGCGCATGCGCACTGTGGGCTTGTGGACCTTGTTAAGACTGAGGCGATCTCTGCGTTACTGATAGACGGCAGCGGCAAAAGTGATGCTGCGAGGCCGAAGCGTGGCCTTACGAAACGGTCGAGCACATCAAATATTTTATCTGATAGAACAACTTTTGAATCTATGAATGTTTCTAGGGTAAATGCGTTTAGAGCTACTGTTGATAGGCACTGTGAATTAGCAAATAGGATACTTCTAACTAGCAAGGAAATCGCGGAGAGGAGAGGCCAAGTTGATGTGGCGTTTCGTGCG